ATAGTGATTTTTTTAAAAAAGATTTTATTTATTTGTCAGAGAGAGAGAGAGCGCACAAGCAGGGGGAGCAACAGCAGAGGGAGAAGCAGGCTCCCCGCTGAGCAAGGAGCCCAATCTGGGACTCAACCCCAGGACTCTGGGATCATGACCTGAGCTGAAGACAGATGCTTAACCCAGTGAGCCACCCAGGCGTCCCTTAAATAGTGATTTAAATCTAAAAACTAATAGGACTTTAAAATGCAAGAGCATCTGGATTGGATGGTATGTAAATAACTTACATAACCAAATCTGGATTAAATACAAAAGTATTTATAAAGTCTATTTGAAATAGTTAAGCTCTCAAGAGGTGGCTCAGTCGGTTAAGTGTCCAACACTTTTATTTTTTTTAAAAATTTTATTTATTTATTTGACAGAGAGAGACAGTGAGAGAGGGAACACAAGCAGGCGGGGTGGGAGAGGGAGAAGCAGGCTCCCCGCTGAGCAGAGAGCCCGATGCGGGGCTCAATCCCAGAACCCTGGGATCATGACCCGAGCCGAAGGCAGACGCTTAACGACTGAGCCACCCAGGCGCCCCAAGTGTCCAACTCTTGATTTGGGTTCAGGTCATGATCTCAGGGTCGTGAGATCAGCAGGGAGTATGCCTGAGATTCTCTCCCTCTGCCCGTCCCCCTGCTCCCACTGTGCGAGCTTTCTCTCTCTAAAAAGAATAAAATAATCTAGGGGTGCCTGCGTGGCTCAGTCAGTTAAACGTCTGCCTTTGGTTCAGGTCATGATCCCAGGGTCCTGGAATCGAGTCCCGCATTGGGCTCCTTGCTCAGCAGGGAGCCTGCTTCTCCCTTGCCCTCTGCCTGCTGCTCCCCCTGCTTGTGCTTGCTCTCTGTCAAATAAATAAATAAAATCTTTAAAAATAAAATGAATACATAAAATAATCTTAAAAAAAAAAGAAATGGATAATCTCTCAAAAAATCAACCATAATTAAGACAAGAAATAAAAATTAAAACACATTAGGGGCATCCGGGTGGCTCAGTCATTAAGCGTCTGCCTTCGGCTCAGGTCATGATCCCGGGGTCCTGGGATCGAGCCCTACATCGGGCTCCCTGCTCGGTGGGAAGCCTGCTTCTCCCTCTCCCACTCCCCCTGCTTGTGTTCCTGCTCTAGCTATCTCTCTCTGTCAAATAAATAAATAAAATCTTTAAAAATTATTTTAAAACACATTAAAATGAACGTGTTAAAAAAAAAAGAACGGGTAGTGAATAACCAGTCTAAAGGACTACAGAGCCACCTTTTAATATAAAAATATCAGTGAATCTAAGTTTGACATGCTAACCATAAATGCCCAGTTTTTTAAAAATCACGTTAATGAGAGAGCAGTAATGTAATATTTGCAGTTTGACTTTTAACAAATTATTTTATATGGTAGAACCACCTAATTACAAACGAACTACGGTACTTTTCCCTTAGGAGAAAAAATTAATCTTTAAATTAAAAATACCTGAATTCTTGAAGATCTTTCAAGATGTCACCCCAAATATTCTGTCATATAATTTCCATCTGAAATGAAAAGAGAAAATTCTATTTATATTTTTGAAGTTGGTACTCTGGTTTTGCAAATTTATTTTTTAACAAGCAAAGACATTTAAAAGGATAAGCAGCAAGGGACCAGAGTAACTATGAAATTATTTTCTTGTAAGTCCCACAGAAACATGTATGTCATATTGAAAAGAGTTACATGGCCTTCTAAAAAAGAAAATATTCAAAGTAAACAGCCAATAATTATTTAACCTAGAATACCGGTAATGTAAATAGGTACCCAATTCCCTCCCTTACTTTGAAAACCCACCACCTTACTCCTATGGTTCAGATTCCCTAAATTACTATCACAATTTCAATCCTAAATGTTACAAAGTGGACAAAGTAAACTGGAACTGACTTAAAATGAGATTTTTAGTATAAAGTCACTTCCATGATGATAATCTAACACAAAATATTGCCAATATTTCAGATCTCACTTTACTCATGAAAAAATTATTTTGAAATAAAAGTGTCCCCAATAGGATGCCCACTAGGCAATATTAATACCCGTGTGCCGCCTCTCTTCTGACATGCTCAAAGGCCATCTGACCTGCTCAGAGATACAGATCTCACTATTCAAGACTAAATAAGTAAGCAAGGCTACTTGCTTATTCAATTAGAAATCTTATGTCTATTTCTTTATCCTTTAGGATTTCTCAGAAAACTTGGGATGCCTGGGTGGCTCAGTCGGTAAAGCGTCTGCCTTCGGCTCAGGTCATGATCCCAGGGTCCTGGGATTGAGTCCCGCATTGGACTCCTTGCTCAGCAGGGAGCCTGCTTCTCCCTCTGCCTGCTGCTCCCCCTGTTTGTGCTCTTTCCCTCTGTACCTCTCTGTCTTTGACAAATAAATAAATAAACTCCTTAAAAAAAAAAAAGGATTTCTTGGAAAACTAAAACTTACAACTTCCAAAAAAATACTTCAAACATAGGTAAATATAAACCAAATGAAAATCAAAGTCCAAACAATGATTATGGAAGATCTAAAATAGTAGAGAACAACTGATTTTTAAAAATCTTTTTTCTTTTACCTGTGTATTATTTAAGGTACTGCTTATTGGGCAAATAAAATTCATAAATATTGCTCCCATCTACAAAATTTCACTACCAATATTAGCTCTCATTTAGTGAGAGCCAATTGCAGGTTTGACTCATTCTCATTAAATTTTCACAACCCTACAAAGTGGCTCTCATCCCCTTCTTACAAATGAGAAAACCACAGTTCAAAAAGGTTAAGCGACTTGCCAGGATCATACTGCTGGTAACCGGTATTACCCAGAGTCAATACTTCCACCAGATCCATTGGCTACAGGGACTCCCCACCACCCTCCCAGAGAACCTAATACTATCCACAAAGCTACCTTCAGAATCATAACAAACAGAAGACCATGCTTTCCACTTTCTCTGGATTTTCCCCCAGGATTTGAACCTAGAGGTTGCCCATAGGCTTCTCACCAACTAAATACTCAAGAAGCAGGAGAAAACTTCATATTCCCCTCCCCTCCAAAAAAAGAGAAAGTGATTTCATACTTAGTGGGAGTTCTAGGTCTAGATTTAAAGATTTATTTATTTACTTATTTATATGAGAGAGAGAGTACACGAGAGGGGGGAGGGTCAGAGGGAGAAGCAGACTCCCCGCTGAGCAGGGAGCCCGATGCAGGACTCGATCCCGGGACTCCAGGATCATGACCTGAGCTGAAGGCAATCGCTTAACAACTGAGCCACCCAGGCGCCCATAGGTCCAGATTTAAATAAAAACTTAATTTTTAATCTTTTCAAAGTTAAATATCCCTAATTCTACTCGAAAGAGTGCTGACATTGTTCAAAGGGGCCAGAATGTTATTACCTTATTAAAAGAACTGATGACAACGCTTTGATTTCCTTTGGATGTTAAATATTATCCCTCCACCCCACACAGAAAAGGAGTAATAGAAATTACCCCCCCCCGCCAAAGTCACGTGTTCAGGAGACGTTGACACCCTCCCTGGGCTAAAGGATCCAAACTGAAGACTTCTCTCTCAGTTTAAAGTTGACGAAAACACTTTTTGGCGACTCTGAAGATGTTTACTCCAGACATAACATTTGGCTCTGAATGGTCATTTACTAACGCTACATCTCCGAAGAAAACTACTTAGCACTTTTAAAATATAAACCAGTAACTTTCCAAAACCCTACACTCTAATACGGTAGCCACTAGCCCCATGTAGTTATTAAAATTTGACTTAAAAATAAAAACCTAAACTTTGGTTTTTCAGTCTCACTAGCCATAAGTCAAATGTTCAATAGCCACGTGTAGCTAGTGGCTACCCTACTTAAGAACGTAAGTATAGAATATGTCGGTTGTGGCAGAAAGTTCTACGGGACAGAGCAACAATCAGTACAGAAGTGAAGTCATCCGACAACACGGCTGTCTCTCCCGCCGCTAGCACAGCAGCGTCCGGCGAGACGGCGGCGCAGCTCCTGGGCCGCACGTTTCTACCGAGGCGCAGGGACAGTCGCGAGGACACGGAGCCCACGCGCAGGGGGACCCTTCGCAGGCGAGCGTTAACTAACTGTGCGGGTGGCACTGCGAGGGCTCCGAACGATGACCAGAGTGAGAAGCCCCGGAGGCGGCGCGTATCCCCGGCGCGCCGGGTGGGGAGGGCCAAGATGCGCCGGCGCCAGTCGGTCAGAGGCGCTGGCCTCCGACCTCTCCGGGAGCTGTGAAGACGGCGGGAGGAGGAAAAACGGAGAAACGCCAGGAGCCAGCCCGCCCCGGTGGTAGCCTTCAGCCGCCCCTCCGCGGGCGGCGCTGGGCGCTGAGACGCGGAACCGGCGGCCGGGGGCACCGGGGCCTCGCGGGCGGCGACGAAGGCGGAGGCGCGCGGAGAGCCCACCCCCCTCCCCGGCCCGCCTGGGTAAACAAGGCCGCGACCCGCGCCGCACACTTACCGGGAGCCGCAGCCCGCGGCCGCTGAGCCCCGGCGGGCCAGACCGGGTCCGGCCGGGCCAGAGGTTTCAGACACAGACGTAGACGCGGCGGGCGGAGGCGACGGGCCGACGCCGGTCAAGGCCCGCGCTCCTTCCTCCCGCGGAGCGGTCTCCGCAGCTCCGGAAGTGCTCAGTGCAGTTGCGTCACTTCCGGCCCGGGGTCGACTCGCGGTCGCCGAGGTCGCGACTGGTGCTGGGTAGCAGCGTCCCTTGGCCAACGCTTCACTGCAGCCCAGCACTCCGATCCCGAGTGTGACCCGGCACGGCCCGCGCCCACGGCTGCGGGAGGCAGCGGAGGAGAGGACTCGGCTTATTGGAGAGTGGTCGAGGCGTCTCTTCCGGCTTTCTCCTACCGGCGCCGCCCGCCGGGATAATTTTAACCCGCGTTTTTCTGATGGACTGCTCGCTTCACTGTTTGTATTCGAGTGTAGTGCACATAGAAGACATACTGACGCCTATGGAGTGGTAAAGGACTGTTGTTTCCCGGCCGCTATCTGGTGGAAGAAGAATTGGGGTTTCAGGTCCCCGCGCCGGGTCGGGAATTTCTGCTTACACTCTCAGGCCGCCGCCTGGTGGCCCCCGAGCCGCAGATACCACGCCGGGCTTTCCCTTTACTCTCCGCTGCGTGGCCCACCCAGTTCTTCAGCTTCCCATTCATCGTACAAGATTGAATCGTGATTTTGTTTCTTAAATTCCACATTTGCCTTGCTACACGGTTTCTTCAAAGAGTTTAGGAAGTATGTGCCCTTATGACTGCCAGTTAACTTCTAGGACCTGTTGCCAAGCATGGTGGATAGAAAGGCACTGAGGCTCACTCAAGTTGCTGCTGCACAAGTGAAAATGCGGGTGTGAAGCCAGTGATGTTAGGGAGCATCCTGGCTGTGCAAGTCCTCCCATAACCCAAATTATTTCCATCCATACACAAGTCGTCTGTGTCTGATATGCAAGATATCTGTGTGTAACGAGCTCTCTTACTTAGTTCTTGCTTCTTGGGTATATTCGTGCATTTCTTATACATGGTTTTCAGCTTTCAGTTTAAGAGCATGTACCTAAGTCAGGCGCAAATACTAGAAAGACTCCCTCCCTCCCCCAAAAAGGAAACAAATACTAGAAAGCCCAAATTAATTTGGAGTGAAAATTAATAGCAATGACTAACAATTGTAGGATTATGAATTCTATGTATGTTGGCAACATAAAAGTCTACTAAACTTCAATGTGCTTATTTTATTCCTTTAAACTATGATACTAGCAAAGGACCTAAAGTGTATTTTCTGCAAATGAAATCTGAATTAGAAGCTCTCGTTTTGGGTTACAGGTAATAAATGCTCTCCAGCAAATAAAAGGAAACTTTCTGTAGCATTATTGCATTTGCAAAATAGAGAATTTGTTCATAGGTCAAGCTCATGGGTGTACGTACAATATATTGGAATCCTATATATTATCCTTATTTGTTCACCTGTCTTTCTCCTGCTAAAGGTAAGTTTTTGCTTGTTTGTTTTAGAGAGGGAGAGCAAGAAAGAGAGAGTGAGGGGCAGAGGGAGAGAGAATCTTAAGCAGGCTCCACGCTGGGTGGAAGCTCAGTCTCATAGCCCTGAGATCATGATCTGAGCCAAAATCAGGAGTTGGACGCTTAACTGACTGAGCCACCTGGGCACCCCAAAAGGTGAGTTTCTTTTTTTTTTTTTTTTAAAGATTTTATTTATTTATTTGCGAGAGAGAGAATGAGAGACAGAGCACGAGAGGGAAGAGGGCAGAGGGAGCAGCAGACCCCCCGCTGAGCAGGGAGCCCGATGCGGGACTCGATCCCGGGACTCCAGGATCATGACCTGAGCCGAAGGCAGTCGCTTAACCGACTGAGCCACCCAGGCGCCCAAAAGGTGAGTTTCTTAAGGGCACAGATCCAACCTTGTTTTATTTATTTTTTTATTTTTTTAAAGATTTTATTTATTTATTTGAGACAGAGAGAATGAGAGAGACAGAGAGCACATGAGGGGGGGGAGGGTCAGAGGGAGAAGCAGACTCCCTGCCGAGCAGGGAGCCGGATGCGGGACTCGATCCTGGGACTCCAGGATCATGACCTGAGCCGAAGGCAGTCGCTTAACCAACTGAGCCACCCAGGTGCCCCCCAACCTTGTTTTAAATATTACTCTATTACATAAACATTTATTGGGCTGATGATTTTATTTTTAACCAGTGGCAATTTCTCTCCAGGAAATAGAGATTTAAGAATTAAGCCAAAATGTTTAAGGATATGCATAAAAATATGTGCACATATATGTGCTTTGAAATGGTGATTCCAAATAGGAATTCCAAATAGGAAACATTTGCCGCATCCAAAATGTCCAAAAGTAAGAGTTTGTTAAATTATGGTAAAATATACAGTAAAGAAAACCATTAGCAATGATGCTGTACTAAGGTATCTATTAATAAGGAAAGGTATTTTTGATATACTCAAGTGATAAGAATAAGAAATGAAATGTGTATGATAGTACTTTTTCAAAATATATATGCATGTGAAATATATAAAGTCTCATGATTTCTGTGGTTCAGAAATCCAGACATGCCATAGTGGGAATGGTTTATCTTAACTCCTCAATGTCTGGGGCCTCAGCTGGAAGACTCGAAAGCTAGGAGCTGGAATCATGGGGAAGAATTATTTACTCATATCCAGTGGGTTTTCGTGGCTGTCAGCTGGGGGTCTAGCTGGAGCTGTTAGCCAAAAAACATACACACATGACCTCTCCACGTTGGTCTGGTTTCCAAGGACAAGTGTTTTAAGAGAAATAGAGCTAGGTGGAAGCTCTATCTCTTTTTTTAACTTAGCCTTTGAAGTTAGACAGCATTACATCTACCACATTTTATTGGTCCAAGCAGTTACAAATGTCCTCTCAGGTTCAAAGAAAGGAAATGAAGCCCCACCCTTGATAGAGGAAAACCAACATTGTATCACATTGTAAGAAAAGCATGTGGAATGGGATATATGTTGGTATGGTCATCTTTGGAAAATATAATCTGTCACATCACATATTACATATATGTATCTTATATATACAGCTTTCATCTTCACCTTTATTGGTTTTATTTTTTTTTAAGATTTTATTTATTTAACAAAGAGAGGCACAGTGAGAGAGGGAACACAAGCAGGGGGAGCGGGAGGGGGAGGAGAAGCAGGCTTCCCGCTGAGCAGGGAGCCCGATGTGGGGCACGATCCCAGGACCCTGGGACCCTGGATTAACGACTGAGCCACCCAGGCGCCCCCTTTTATTGATTTTAATTATGCAACTAATATATTGATATATTAAAGTTGTAAAAAAATTAACATAAAAGTATTGATAGCAACGTGTGAATATTCCCATTAACTCACTTCGACTCTCTTTACCCTATCTGGGGTTGTTACCGTTGTCTGATCCTTTCTATGCATTTACATGTATATTTGTATTCATAGCTATACACATACATTTTTTTTTCCATATACACACACATTTACACAAATTTTTTTTTTTTTTAAGATTTTATTTATTTGACAGAGAGAGACACAGCGAGAGAGGGAACACAAGCAGGGGGAGTGGGAGAGGGAGAAGCAGGACCCCGCCGAGCAGGGAGCCCGATGTGGGACTCGATCCCAGGACCCTGGGATCATGACCTGAGCTGAAGGCAGACGCTTAACGACTGAGCCACCCAGGCGCCCACAAATGTTTTTTTTTCTGTTAGGCTATTATAAGATGCTTCTTTTTTCACTTAGTAGAAAGTGCTATTATTATTCTCCATTCCATGAATGAGCAAACTAAGGCACAGAAAGTTCTGGTAATTCCTCAAAATTAAAAAGCTAGAAAGTGGCCAAGCTGAGATTCTAACCCTGCTGGTGTGGCTCCAGAGCCTACCCTCTCTCCACAGTGCTGGACCCTTTCTCAGTATTTCCTAATATGAATGTATTGTAATCTGTTTGACCATGCTCCCTTTGCAGGTCATCTGTTTCCAATTTTTCACAATTACAAATAATGTCGCAATAAACACCCTTGGATGTACTTCTTTTTGCACAGATGTGAACATGTTTGGGGTTCTAGTTCTAAATTTTTTTTTTTTTTAAGATTTTATTTATTTGAGAGAGAGAATGAGAGACAGAGAGCACGAGAGGGAGGAGGGTCAGAGGGAGAAGTAGACTCCCTGCCGAGCAGGGAGCCTGATGTGGGACTCCGTCCCGGGACTCCAGGATCATGACCTGAGCTGAAGGCCGTCGCTTAACCAACTGAGCCACCCAGGTGCCCTGGGTTCTAGTTCTAGAAATGAATTGATGAGTCAACTGCCCTGCTCATACTGCCAAATCACCTTTTAAAAATGCCTTTGATTCTTTGAGCCCAGCTGAAGGCCAGGCACCATGTTGTTAGATAGAATGGTGGGGGAAGGAGATCACAGTCCCTGCAGTTTAGGAGCTTTGGTCTAGTAAGAGATGAAAAAATTAGAGGAATTGTGAAATAAGTATGAAATTGCTGTGAGGAGTACCACACAGGAGAGTCACTACATCTCCATTCTCTGCTCTATCTACACTCATTCCCTAGGAATCTCATCCAGTCTCTGCCCAAGGACCTCCAACACACTGATGACTTACAGGTCTTTCTTTCTAGCCCTACCCGATTCCCTAAACACATTCAGTATATTCAGTTGTCCATTTGGAGGTCATATGGGCACTCAAATTTGAAGTACCAAACAAAACTCAATTTTATCCCCAAACTGCTCATTCCCCCAATGTGTCCCAGTTCAGTAATGCCCCTATCTCTTACTGTTTACTCAGGCCAAAAATTCACAAGTCTCCCATGACTCTTCTTTCCCTTTGCAATTCCACATTCAATCCCTAAGTGCTATACCTCCATGATATGTCCTGATTTGGCAGTTCTCCCCATCTGCTGCTCTAGTGCAAACCACCAACATGTGTCCCTGGGTGTGAGCAATTAACTAGTCTCCATGCTCCTACCCATGCTACCATATCGGTTCTAAACATTATCTAGAAAGATCTTTTTAAAGCATAAAACATGTCAATTCCCTGTTCAAAACCCTTCAAAGCTTTCAATCACAGGCTTCACCCTTATAGGCCTATAGTGGTAGGGTCTGGAGCCAGACACCCAGGGTTAGAATCCCAGTTTGGTGATTTCCTAGCTGTGTGAACTTGGGTAAGGAACTTCACCTCTCTGTGACTTAGTTTTCTCATTTGTGAAATGGGGATAATAGTAGCACCTTCCACTGAATGAAAAAGCAGAAGGATATTCACAATAGCTTTTTATTAATGAAGAAAGGGTTTGTGTAAGTGTGTGTGTGTGTGTGTGTGTGTGTGTGGCTGTAGATATAAATATATATGTGGTTGTAGGGGTGCCTGGTGGCTCGGTTAAGTGTCTGCCTTCAGCTCAGGTCATGATTCTGGGGTCCTGGGATCAAGTCCCGAGTCGGGTTCCCTGCTCAGCAGGGAGCCTGCTTCTCCCCCTGCCTGCTGCTCCCCCCTGCTTGTGCTCTCTCTCTCTCTGACAAATAAAATCTATTAAAAATATATATATATATATGTAGATGTATAGAAAAGGTCCTAGAAGGACATGTATGAAAGGACATGTACTGACCGAGCCATTCAGGCACCCTGACATGCTTTACTTTTAAAAATCCATTGGGGATGGGGCGCCTGGGTGGCTCAGTTGGTTAAGCTTCTGCTTTCAGCTCAGGTCATGATCTCAGGGTCCTGGGATGGAGCCCCATGTCGGGCTCTCTGCTCAGAGGAGAGCCTGCTTCTCCCTCTCCCTCTCCCTCTGCTGCTCCCCCTGCTTGTGCTCTCTTTGTCAAATAAAGAAATAAAATCTTTAAAAAAAAATCCACTGGGGAGATGGGGCGTCTGGGTTAAGCATCAGTTGGTTAAGCATCTGACTCTTGATTTTAGCTCAGGGTTATGAGATCGAGCCCCAAGTCAGGCTCTGTACTCATTGTAGAGTCTGCTTGAGAGTCTCTTACCTCTCCCTCTGCCCTTCTCCCTGTTCTCTCTAAATAAATAAATAAATAAAGTCTTTTTTAAAAATAAAATAAAAATTTTAAAAATCCACTGGGGAGCACTGAATTTCTAAGATTGACTTAAAGGTAGTACTGATATCCTCAATATTGACTCTTTGCATCCAAGGAATATGTCTTTACACTTGTTTTTCTTTCATGCCTTTGAATTTTTATATTTTATTCACATGGATCTTTGATTTAGTCCTGGATCTCTTATGGGTTTTCTTACTATTCTGAATAGTTTCCTTTTTTGCATGTTTTCTAATTGGTTATTTTTTTAAAGAGTTTTATTTATTTGGGGCGCCTGTGTGGCTCAGCCGTTAAACGTCTGCCTTCGGCTCAGGTCATGATCCCCGGGTCCTGGGATTGAGCCCTACATTGGGCTCCCTGCTCAGCGGGAAGCTGCTTCTCCCTCTCCTGCTCCCCCGTGTGTGTTCCCTCTCTCGCTGTGTCTCTCTCTGTCAAATAAATAAATAAAATCTTTAAAAAAATTATTTATTTATTAATTATTTATTTATTTATTTATTTATTGGAGTGGGGGAGAGCATGAGCAGGGGGAGCGGCAGAGGGAGAGCAGACTCCCCGCTGAGCAGGGAGCCTGATGTGGAGCTTGATCCCAGGACTCTGGGATCATGACCTGAGCCAAAGGCATCCACTTAACTGACTGAGCCACCCAGGCACCCCTAATTGGTTATTGTTAATGTATCGAAAAGCTATTGTTTCTGGATATTGTTCTTGTGTCTGTCTCTTAAATTTCTTCTTAGTTTCAAAGGGTCTTCAACTGATTCTTTTGAATTTTCAAAGTAAGCATTTAGATCACTTGAAAATTGTGATATTTTAGATTCTTAATTTTTATTTAAATTTTTCATTTATTCTTTCCTTGTCTTATTTCCCTCCCTCCTTTTTTCCCTCCTTCTTTTTTTCTTTCTTTCTTCCTTCCTTTCCTACTTTCTTTTTTTCCCTCCTTTCCTATTGGTCTTACTGTCTTGGCTACCATGTTCAATAAAAGGTTAAGCAGTAATCATGATCAAAAGCATACCTTTGTTCCTCTCATTAATAGGGAGGTTTCTAATATTTCACCTTAAACATTTTTGCTAAGAAAGATATAGTTACTAAGTTGCTTTTTAAAAAAAATTTTTTTTAGGTAGACTCCACACCCAACATGGGTCTCGAATTCACAACCCTGAGATCAAGAGTGCATGCTCTACTGACTGAGCTACCCAGGCACCCAGTTGTGTTTTTTTTTTTTAGATAGTTATGTTTTATCTATTACAAGGGAATTTACTTAAAATCTTAAGTGTCCAGTTTTATGTTCTTTTCCCTTTTTTAAAGGTTTATATATATATATTTTTAGTAATCTCTATACCCAACGTGGGGCTTGAACTCACAACCCAGAGATCAAGAGTCACACACTCTTCTGACTGAGCCAGCCAACTGCCCCTATGTTCTTCCCCCGCTTTTTTTTTTCCCCCGCTTTTTTTTTTTTTTAAGTTTTTCTTTATTTAAATAATCTCTACACCCAGCGTGGGGCTCGAACTCACAACCCCAAGAACAAGAGTTGCCCACTCCTCTGACTCTGAGCCAGCCAGCCACCCCCCCTTTTTTTGTTTTGTTTTTGATAAGGAATGATTGTAGGCTACTATTGCTGGTCAGACTCTCTGGAAACAAATGCTGAAATGGAGTTGGGAGAGCAAGGTATTTATTAGGGACCAACATATGTAAAGGGAAGGAGCAGGAAGCAGAATTGGGCAGAGGCAAAAGTTAAACTGTGTTGCAGGCCCAGTGAACCTGCCACTAACCCAGCAGAGAGCACTGGAATTGATGTGGGAAACAAAGGCAGGAGAAAAATTACTAAATATCCTTACTAACAGTCCATTGACAAGTCCTTGAAACAGGCAGAGTGACATTCCTCTAGGGACTCAGCTGCCTGGAGGTTGACACTTTGCTAAGGGCAAAAGACAATTGTAGCCCAACCCCCAGGATCCTGTAAGTCTACTTTTTTTTTTTTTTTAAAGATTTTATTTATTTATTTGAGAGAGAGAATGAGAGAGAGCACATGAGAGGGGGGAGGGTCAGAGGGAGAAGCAGACTCCCTGCTGAGCAGGGAGCCCGATGCGGGACTCGATCCAGGGACTCCAGGATCATGACCTGAGCCGAAGGCAGTCGCTTAACCAACTGAGCCACCCAGGCGCCCAAGTCTACTTTAACATATAAAAATTCCCTTCGAAACTTCCTTTATCTCTACCCCCCAAGATACATGTTGGCAATTATCCCCCAAGCATATGACCCACTGATACACATCTGAAGGGACTCATGACTAAGGTTTTATTAGACAGTAATAAATGACCTTTTCCCAACAATAGCTAGCCCCCTCAAGGTCCTGGAAACCTTCCTTCCAAAATTCCTTAGAGACTTAGGCTATCCCTAACCCCCTCTCAACTTGAAAGTATGTAATGGGCCACTCCTCATGACACCAATGCAGCTCTTTCTGCCCATGGGTCCTGTCCCTGTGCTTTAATAACATCACCTTTTTGCACCAAAGATGTCTCAAGAATTCTTTCTTGGCCATTGGCTCCGGATCTCACCAACATTCCAAAACTACATCATTTGGTGACCACGAAGGGACCCCTCTCACTCTAGAGAGCTTTCTTTCTGTTCTCACCTTCACTTAATAAACTATCACTTCACCCTTTTGTGTCCACGAGATTCATTCTTTGGCTCTGGGACACAAGAACCCTGCAACCCTGTAACAGAATGAACAGTTGCCTATCAGTATCTTATACCAGGTCAAACTCACCAGGCATTTATATACTTTTACAAACTTGGATTTATACACTTGCTCAATCACTGGGTGTAGGCTGTCTTGGGAAGGGTATGCCTAGAAGAGAGGCAGCTATCTGAAACTAAGGCCATTTCCTGAAGGACTGAGAGCTGGAGGCTGTCTGCTACTCTATGTTCCACAGCTGGGCAGCCAGGCCTTCCTTGAAGAAGGTTCTAGGTGG